CCACATTGACCTTGAAAAGGGGGGATATGTAAGGTTATGAAGTTCATTGTTTTCAACTCCATACAGCTGCCCCCTGTGCACAATAACACCGTGTAGAAAAACCAAGGTCGGGTGTTCCTCAGACTGTTTACATTCCAGGAGAAGAGTCCAAAGGAGAAGAAGAAACTTTACTTAATCAAAGTACTTTATTTGTGATTAAAATTATTAAGCAAAACAGATGTTGATCAACAATAATCAAGTGAATGATCTGTGAAATAAATATGTCATGAATTATGTTTAATGAAAACAGGACTACGGCACAGACATACTGATCCTCATCTCCATAGAAACGCATGACACATTGTTCCAACCAATCAGAGCTTTCGGCTGCCGCAGGAGAATCTGGTGTTGACTTCAAGTGTCCAATCCACTTTACTACAACTTATCAACAATTCAGAGATATAAAACAAGGCAACGCCATTTTAAGTCAGTTCCATTTTGACTTCAGTTCTATTCACCGTCATCCTAAAGAAAAGCACAGTCTGGCCAGATGTGTTTCGTCTTTAAACTAAGAACTGTGAAGTGGGAGATTTTCGTCGTTTAATAACCAGACGACATCCTTTCAAAATAAGAGCACCTGCCAACGCCGCCGAACGGTACCGGGGTCGACCCTCCAGACGGGCTTTGAAACGTTGTGATCGCTGCACCGACAGCTCCAGCGTACATCCGAGGTCTCCAGACCTGGCATTTCCTGATCTACCTGGGAGACCCCCACTGGGTACGTACACGGCAAAATAGCGGCTCATGTCATCACTTTATAAGCCTCGTGATATCTAGTCATAACAAAGACGACCAGATTCATTGACGTCAGCCTAGAGAGTCTGAACCAGACACACACACACACACACACACACGCACCAACACAACATCCAAATCCATTTTCATCCATCACAGAGTTAGTCCTGGTAGATTGTTTAGAATTTATAATTCAGAAATTAAAGATTCTCAAACGATCCCATCTCTCTCTCTTTTCTTGTCTCAAAGTCAATACAGAGTGTTTAATTAAACTCCCTGATGATAAAAACAGCCTATTCTTCTGTTTAAAAAAAAGTGAACTACTTACAGTGTATTAAAATACAACTTTAGATAGTTACATCACTTCAATTCCGTTACATGTTCTAGCGTCTCTTCTTTTCCTTATCTTGCCAGAGGTGCGTTCAGGCGTGTCGTCCAGTGAGGGGGGCGCAGTTGTAGTTGCAGTTTATAGGTATGAGGTCAGGGAGGAGCCCCATCCCACTTCAGGTTTAGTTCCAGGTCCAGTTCCAGGTCCAGCCCCCACGTCAGATGCTGCTGTTCCAGTCGTTCTATCGGGTGGTGAGAGGCGGTCCAAATGCAGGGCCATGAACGTGAGTACCAACATCAACAGTGTGGTGTAAACAGCAAGCATGGAGCAGATCTTCATCTTCACCTGGGTTGAGACATGAGTACCTATTGTTACCTTTGAAGCCGGACTTTGTTATGCTCTAATAGCAGTTAGTCCATGTTGATGAGCTTGCAGTGGGATAGATGAATCCAAGATGGCCTCTCTGCAATCTTTAGAGCAGTGGGGGTGGTAAGGAGAACTTCCCACCTCGGGCAGCGCCAGTTGTCTCTTTTCAGCACCTTGATCAGAACCCAATTTCCTGGTTTCACGACCTGTGAGGGCGAAAAAGCACGAGAGGGTTCTGGGAGATCACTGCTTATCTTGACTTTTTTATCAACAAATAATTTAACCATCCAATCTTCCAAAGTATTTTCTCTGTCACTGTGGACCACAGGATTCATGATATGGGGAAAAGGAAATCTTCTTCCATAAACCACTTCAAATGGCATTGGTCCACCAGAGGGAGCTATTACCCTCATCCACAGTTTTACTAGTGATACACACTGGCCATGGACAGCCTGTCTCAGCCACTGTTTTAAGGTTGGTTTATGCTTGACACGTCCGCGAGGTCCACATGGCTCCGTGCGGAAAAGTTGCATCATTTTAACAACCACGCCCCTCCACCGCGCCTCCGCACGGCCCAAACTTTCCGCACCTAGGAAATTTTCTAACCACGCGGACGGTTGGACGCAGAAAAACATGGCGGACCGGCAAGAACTAGTTAGTATGGCAGAGGTTCGTAAATACAGACATTTGTATGATTCAGCTCTCAAAGATCACCGTGATCAACATGTTGTTAATAATTCTTGGAGAGAAATAGCTCGCACTGTCGGAAAAGACGAGGACGCTGTTAAAATTGCTGGAATGCCATGTTGTAAACAGTAATTTCTACTTCTACTATGGTGTAGTGTTGGGTGCATGCTGTAGAGCTCCATGCTGCCCCCTACAGTTTGGGAGAATATTGGCTCAACGCAGAGACAAGCCGCATGAACCATAAACGCTGCAAGTTGTGAAGCGCGTTCCATCCGCAAGCCGCATCACCAAGCGGAAAGTGAATGCGTCAAGCATAAACCAAGCTTTAGCTAATCTATTTTTAATCGTTCCGTTTGTACGTTTAACCAAGCCAGCTGAAGAGGGGTGATAAGAACAATGATGTTTCAGCTCAAACCCTAAGGTTTCAGAGAACCTGGTCAATACCTCATTCACAAAATGTGTCCCATTATCTGATCTAATAACCAATGGAATTCCGTAAGTTGAAAAAAAATGATTGCACAACACCTTTGCCACTGTTAAAGCGTATTTTTTCTTTGTGGGATATATTTCTGGCCACCTGGATAAAGCATCTATTACCACTAAACAATATTTTGTTTCTTGCATCTGTGATAGTTCAATAAAGTCCATGTGTATTGTGCGAAATGCATAATCAGTTGTTGGAAAGTGTCCCCGTTTTGGTCTTAATCGCCCTTGAGCGTTGTTTTTCATACAGATTAAACATTTTCTGCAATAGTCATTTGCAAAAGTAGAAAAATTATTAGTGTGGAATGTACTATTGATTAACTGAGCCATCCCCCCTTTGAGACAGGAGATACCCCATGACTCATAAGAGCAGCAGTGGGAAACAGACTTAGGCAAAATAGGTTTGTTATTTACATGCAACACATAATCAATATTTGCAGGTTTAAATCCAAGCCAGGACCGCTGTTCCTGATCGGGAGCAGAAGTCTGTGCCTCACGGAGGATGTCATCAGAAAGTGTTTAGGAGCAGTAACATGAAGCTCCAAAGGTGAGAGGCATGAGGGCTGCAGCCTTAGCTGCTTTATCAGCAAAATGATTGCCTCTCGTGGTGTCAGAGTCATCTGTTTGATGTGAAGGGCATTTGCACAGAGATAACTTGCGTGGGAGTTGCACAGCATCCAGAAGCTCCAAGAGCCTTGAAGCGTGAGTCAGGTGTTTACCAGTGGAGGTGACCATGCCCCTGTTTTTCCAAATCTGGGCAAAGTGATGCACTGAAGAGTAAACATACTGACTATCAGTGAAAATATTTATGTCTTGTCCTGAGTGAAGCTGGCAGGCTCTAGTCACAGCTACTAATTCAGCCACCTGGGCCGAGCAATGAGAGGGCAATGGTTTAGCCTCAATGACTGATGTCTGAGTGGTCACTGCATAACCAACTAAGGTTTTTTTCAGAAGCATCTTTTGTAGCTGAACCATCAACATAAAGAGAGATATAGTCAGACTGAGGAGTGTCTAAAATGTCAACACGTGGTTTTGTCATTTCATTCGTGAGTGTTTTGCAGCAATGTTGTTCTCCATCTATATCAGTAGGTAAAAGTGAAGCTGGGTTCAGGCTTCCACAGCGCACTATTTCAATATGTGACTGCGACAACAATGTAGAGACACATGTGAGATGTCTGTTGTGTGTCAGAAAGGGTAGGTTTGTTTTCAGCAGAATCAGTGCAACAGAGTGCGGTACTTGTAACGTGAGATGATGTAATAGAACAAGGTCAGCGCTTAGCATAACAGCCTGTGAAGCTGCAGCGCACGCTTGTACACAGCTGGGTAAACCGGCTGCAGTTGAATCTAGCTTTTTAGAGTAATAAGCTATGGGCAAGGGCGTCAGTTTGTTGTCAGAATTGCTGGGGACAATAACCATACACTTGAGTGGGGCTTAAAAATTGCTGGGGACAATAAAGTAGGCTAGCACAGGGGTCGGCAACCTGCGGCTCTGGAGCCGCATGCGGCTCTTCCATCCATCTGATGCGGCTCTCTGTGCTTATAAAATAATGACTGGATATTTAAAGAGCGGGTCAATTGAGCCTCAGAGTCTTACTCCACCCACGTATCAATTTTAAAAAATGCAACATTAGTAGGCGTTGCCTGGAGGACCGAGAGGGCGGAGCCGCGGCAGTGACGAAGACGATGGCTAACTAGACGAAGCTAGCTCCCTTCACTCTGAGCAGTTATTAGAAGTGGAGGACGTTTCTTCCCCTCCTTACACAGACACTCGAGAAGAAAGGGACCAAGTCTATTTGGAGGAGACAAGCGGACCTGAGTCTTATTGTTTTGAGCTTGTGAGTTGCCTGAAACTCCCAGAACCGACCCAACAGAATCACCTCTGAAAGGTAAGTAGCCGTTAGCCATAGCATTGGATTAGCTGCAGGGTTTGTCTCCACGGCCATAAAAAGCTAGTATTCAGCATGTTTTAGAGGTTTTTCTGCTTCAGCACATCTGGTTTTAATCAGCAACAAATAGCTGAGCTGCTTAACAGCTAATCTAACCTGTTAAAGCAGGTAAATCCACTGAAACATGCTGGATAGCAGCTCTCCGGTAGCCCTGGGCTCAAGTTACAGTCTGCTGCATATAAAGTTATGAAAATACCCCATGAGAAAATTATTCTGTAATGTGTTCAGCCCACTAAAACTGCCCTGATTTCTTTATTTATTTACTAATAACAGCTGCTCTCTCGGTTCTAGGTCCTCTGGTGTCTGCAGCTGGTCTCTGGTGTCTGCAGGTGGTCTCCTCTGCTGGTGCCATCAGGATCAGGAGCTTCCAGAAGAATGTGCCTTTCAGTGACTCTTTCCCCCTTATTTGTTATATTAATTAAATAAATCTCAATTTATATATTTCCTGTTTTTGTTCATGTCCATAAATACTTAAACATGCTTGAAATTAAAACGAGCTTTTAACAGTGAGGTGCTAGTTTAATTAATCACAATAGCTAGTTAAACATGCAACAAAAATGTGATAATCAATGTAATTTATAAATATCCATTAAAATATAAAAACTGGAATCTAAATGAGATATTTGGCAGCACAAAAAACTTGTCAAACACAATATTTATTATAATAATTGTAGGCAGACAGGAGACAGAGCTGATGGAGGTTCTCAGTCATTGAAGGATGGCTGAAGGCTTTCCAGGAACAGGAGATGTGGTGTTGTCTCTTCTCTCTCTATTCTGCCAGATGAGCTGATAGGTTACAGGTGTGTGAGGACATCCTCATGCTGTCATAACCAGATGACAGGAGTTATCAGGTGATCAGCCAGGCTAATGAGATGCAGAAAGAAAACAAATTCAGGACAGTGTACAATATGTGGTGTTGCTCACCTTATGTGCTCTTATAGAATATTAACGTGTGCCTGCCTCATGTTGTAGAGTCCATATTTTGCTGAGTGTCCTGCAATAATGCAGGTTATTAGTTAATTTACTTTTGATAGCAAAAACAAAATATTTAATGTAAAAGTTATTTTCCAGGTGAATCAGCTCACACGTCACCACCAAGTGTCACGGGCAGAATCAGTAGCCTCCTTCATGATGTCATGATGTAATCACATACTTATTTAATTGTTAATATCTTAAAAATTCTGAAATGTTTTAATTTTTTTTTACCTTGAACAGTTCACTGAGCTTGCACTGTCACTGAGGTGGAAGCTGGAATCAACAGCAGACACCTCACACCTTGGTCTTTTCAGGGGGTGTGGACACTGCTCTGGGACCTTCTGGAAGATGAATTTTCATCATGGTCCCTGTGGGTCACCAGACACACTGCGGCTGTGAACTCCATTCTGGCTGGCTATGTAAAAACAAAGAAGCAGCACATTTATAAATGTTTAAAAGAGCATAAAATCACGTGTAACAATAATCTGTAAAACAAATTAAAACTAGAAGGTGATAATAAAATGTTTACATAGAAGATTGTTAAAAATAATTCACCTTTGCTACGGGTAAGGCTTCACGTCTGCCTGGACAAGTGCATTCTTGCAGCTAAATCAGTCTGACAGCCAGTGTCTTGGGTAGATTTAGCCTGAAAAAAATAGAAGCACATTGTTGTTGGGAGTTTATAAAGTCAGATAATATACAAAAGAATCTCCTATATAGGCGCTTTATAACATTCCTAGTGTGTGATCATTGTTATAACGTAAAAGTCAGTCACATATGATGTGGAGAGCCTGAAATGTGACCTCCTGAACAGAATTCCTTACAGAACCGGGTCACAAGCTGGATTTCACGCTGTAATGCTGTCTGTCAACTAGTGCAGGTTAGTTAGAGACACTGTTGCAGAATTGCCGACTGACTAGCTAAAGGAAGTGAACCACGTCTCTCAGACTTTGCATTTAGGTAGGGAATTGTCTTTAGAAGATGTTAAAACGTTTATTTAGCTTACTCACCTCAGACTGGAGCCCGCCGTGGTGGGGGAGCAGAGTCGGTGGGCTGCATCTAAATCGCGGAAGAGCCACGGTGGGCAGCCTCCCTCTTCAAACGGAGACGTGCAGAATCGCGGGTAAAATGCCCACAGAGTCACCGCAAGCATACTACACTACACCATCTCACCAATACTAAGACGATATGAACACTAAACCCGAAATACTTTCCCAATTACACTAAAAGCCAAACACTAACTAAACTACAATATCCAACAGCCAAGCTAACACTAAATAAGTATGTATAACACTAAAAGATATGCTAAAGACTAGGATATGCTAATGCTATATGCTAATGCTGAACTACCGCTGACCTCCTACGCTCACTTGCAAATCCAACTCCCACTCGCCACAGGGCGTGGCCGAGACGCTCGTTGCTTTTATAACTTTGGCACGGAGCTGCTACGTAGTACTCTACTGGTTTATGTAGTACTTTACTCTTTAGCCATTGGCTAAAATTTATTCAAAATGACTCAAATTCTATGTTTTCAGCTGAAGGTGGCGCATTACTTTGGTTTTTAGACAGAATTTTTAATTTTTAAAGAAAATGCACCAAAATGCTAAAATAAAGAATGCCAACATTTAAAACACTATTAGACACTCTTTTATACAGTTCATCAGCAAAAAAAAGTTAATTTAGACGTTACTTGCTCTTTAAATAAAATGCTTTATATTTTACTGCATTAATTTTACATCTGTATGCCAATTCTAAATGTAAAGATTGTCTGCGTAAACCTGAACAGGTCCAACCCGGTCTTACTGTGAGACCGGGTTGACGCGTCACGCTTGTGCGTAATCGTATGCGCTTCTGAGCTGCTTTCTGACCTTCCCCACCTACAAAGTTTAATTACAACAATCAACCGTGACAGAGCCTGGATTTGTATTGTGAACAGTCTAAACATGTTTTATAAAGAAACGTATGACAAAAGTGGCACCTGCTCAGTAAAATATTATTGAAGGCAGAGACGGGCTACAGCTTCTGGATCCACTTTATTTAATCGTTTTATTGATTATCTTTTTATGAAAGATAACTTTGACGTACACGAGCGACCAGGCGCGTTGCAAGCTTTTCAAAAGTGTGGGGGATGTTGTATGTGCCTAAAATAATTATGTTATTCATCTTGTTAGTTTAATTTCCATAATAGTGGAGCAGGTGCGAATTTTAGACGCGTCACGCATGTCTCCGTTTTAAACATGTTTAAACTGTTCAGAATACAAATCCAGACTCTGTCTCGTTAGATTGGTGCAACTAAAGTTTGTACTGAATGAAACTACATTAAACCATGTTGAAAAGAAAATGATCCGATTAAATCGTTACCCCCTTACAGTCACGGACTACAGTGCAGTGCTTGGCTCTGGGGTTAATCAGGTTTAGTTGTTTCTCTTTGCAACAATCTTCACAAGAAGGCAAAACAGTTAAATGACAGGTTACAGATATTTCCATTTGACTGTTTATTTTGACGGATAAACTCAAGGATGTTGGTTGATTTCCTCCCACTGAAGCGTTCTGGAAACCCGGTCTCTCTGAGGGATGTGTCACTTGGAAAAATTTTATTTTTATGAAATTATGAAAGTTTGGCTGAATAGCGCTTGTTCCTGTCTCTAATATGGAGACGCATGACGCATCCAGTCGCCTCTTCAGCTCAGAAAGCACCTGTAGAGATATTTGATCACGCACAAAGTTTATGTGGAGCAGAAGCGGTCAGGCCACGGCAGGTGAAATGTTCCTAGCCTACATGAAGTGAAACTGTTTAATTGTACCATTAATATGTTACTGGACACGCTGGTCTGGTTGGTTAGACCAGTGTTTGAAGTGGAAAACACACACACACACACACACACACACACACACACACACACACGCACACACACACACACACACACACACACACACACACACACACACACACACACCAATTAAAATAATGCTGATAGTGTGGACTAGAAGACAGGTGATGGTTTAAGTGTTTAAATGATGATCAGGCTGCTGTAAAATGTAATCTCCATCCACATCCAGACACAATTATCCTCTATTCTGTCTATTTGCTCTGCTCTTGTCTGGGCTGGCAGCTGACGGTGTGCGCGGTGCGCCTAGTGGCTGTGATGCTCATTTTACGCATTTGGAGAGGTGGGCCGGATGCTTTGCTTTTACTGGAAGATGGTCCACTTAACGCACGGGTGTAGACTACATATTAATGACAAATGAATGAAAATTAAATTGGGAGTTTTTACTTCATATTTTAGAAATAAAAATGACGGGGGAACACATTTATGACGTCTTTTTAAACAAAATTTTCTAGCGCGACCTGCCTGCTTCACTTAAGTCTCTGCTTATTAAGGTCCGTCCAAAATTACCGTGGCCCACCCAAAAGTGAAAACCTGGCGCTGTGCCTGTTATAAACCTCTGCTAATTATTGTTCTTCACTTGATCAAACTCAGACTTTGTACAGCTAATGTCAAGATGTAAAATTATGAATTCAGTCGAGCTCTCCGTCCCTCCCTCTCCTGCTCTCCTTGAACCCGACATCGGCTGTCAGAATAGGGGAGGTGAAGAAGGAGATGAGGCAAACAGAGTGAGTGCGACCTAAAGAAACCAGACTGGAGTGGAGGTGAGCAAAACAGCTGGAAAAGTGTGGGTGTTGCATCCCCCACGGGTGCGACGCCCATGGTACCGGCTGCTGTCACCTGGTTGTGAGCAGCTCTCTGCTGTCTGAGGGTAGGCCCCGCCCACAACGCTGCGCTGCTGTGGCTCCCAGTGTTTTCATTACTGTGGGAAACGGGTAATAATGGCTCTTTGATGGGAACAGGTTGCCGACCCCTGGTATGAGATCTGAGCTGGTAAAACAAAAATCCTCATCAGCAGGATTTTTTGAAAGTGGGGGGGACACAGCTGCCAATCACAAATTTTGCCGGGGACATGTCCCCGGCGTCCCCGGTTAAAATGACGCCTATGGCTATGGGTCTGTGCTGACTGCCATGTTTCTGAGTCAACACCACTTTCATTTGCCCCTCTGCTGCATCCACAGAGAGAGAAAAATCTTTGGAATAGTCAGGCAAGGATAGAACAACATTTGTTTGTAGAAGTTTTTTAACTCCACAAAAGCCTTTTCTGCCTCAGGAGTCCTCCTGATTTTGTCATTTAGAGCTAGGTCTTTGCCATAAATGATAATCTGAAGTGGCAACACCACAAATGCATAATCAGGTATCCAGGTTCTGCAAAAGTTGCAGAGACCCAAAAATGACATTATTTGTTTCTTTGTTTCAGGTTTAGCTGTGCTGCGTGTGTAAACGGGACGGTAGTTGAAACTCCCGTTGACTTTATTTGCCAAATGCAGGAAAAGCCAAAGTGTCTGACGGCTGCAGAACCAGAGATCGCAGGTTGACGCCTGTGCCATCTCTAGTAGAAGCGTGAGCCTGCAGCAGCAGCAGATGTAAATCGGCGGTCTCCAGCTCTGCAACTATACCTTTGTCTTCGGCGAATCAGCCCGGCCAAAAACTGTTCATGATTGGTCAGTCCTCGTGCACATGTGCAGATTATCGTTCTCTTTCCTTACTCCCGGAAGAACGGTTCAGAGTGCAAATGGTTTCTTTGTTGCTAATCTATAGGGAATATCTACAAGGAAGTTCTACAGAAAGTAGCAACGGGTCCTGATAAATGTTGCTAGGTTTGTCGCTAGGCGCTTTTTGGAAAAAAAGTCGTTGAGGGGGGTCAAAAAGTCGTTAGGAACAGCGACAAAGTCGCTGAGTTGGCAACACTGGGTGTATCTCAGTGTCTGAAATGTCAGCCAACAATGAGCTGCTGACCAGAAAATAATCCAAACGTGAATGAGAGTGATGGACGTGTGAAAAAAAAGTGTACTCTCTACGGTTAGGATGAAGAGATCGCCATGCATCACAATGCCCATAATCACTCATGTACTGTTTAATTATATTAGTGGATTGCCCAGCTGTACTGAGCCTGTCTGTTAACGTATCCGTCCAAAAAGCGCCACGTGATTTTTATCTTGAGAGGCGCTATAGAAATGGTACTTTCTTCTTCTTCTTCTTCTTCTTCTTCTTCTTCTTCTTCTTCAAAAATTAAAATCACCTCCAAGTATAAGTGGACAGTCCAAGTGTTCGGAGAGTACAGAGAAAAAATTATGAAAGAATGAAAGGTCATCAATATTTGGACAGTATATGCTGACGATACATAAGCTTTGGTTCTGTATAGATATTTTTAGTATTATAAATCTACCCTCTGGATCTGAAACTATGTCCAATACTGTGAAATTGATGTTTTTGTGTATTAAAATAGCTACACCTCTTTGCCTAGACCAGGGGTCGGCAACCTTTCCCCATCAAAGAGCCATTATTACCCATTTCCCACAGTGAAGAAAACACTGGGATCCACAGCAGCCGCGGCGTTGTGGGTGGGGCCTGCCCTCTGACAGCAGAGAGCTGCTTTAACCGATCACAACATGTGACAGCAACCAATACCAGTCGCTCATGTACCTGAAAGTTATCTTTCAACAGAAGATTATTAATAAAACAGTTTGTATTAAATTCATCCAAAAGTTGTAGCCTGTCTGTGCTACAATATTTCGATATTTTTCACCCTGCTAGTGGTTTTAATAGTTGAGCAAGAGACCGTTTTGAGGCGTCACACATAACTAATTGTTCAGAATACAAATCCAGGCTCTGTTTTGTTGGACTGTTGTAATTAAACTTTGTACTTTGCATTAAACATTGTTGAAAAGGTAAGAAAAGGATCAATTAGTTTTTTCCCCTCATTTACACGGATGGAGATAACGGCGCAGTGTGCGTGGCTGTGGTGTTCATCAGGTTTAATATTCCTGTTTGCAACAATCTTCACAAGAAGGTAAAAACGGTTAAATGACAGGGTTCGCACTGATCGGATGTTTCCCGTATTTATTTTGACAGAGAAATCTCAAGCCTGCAGATGCGCTCACATTTTGATCGTTACGCACATCGTGGAGGTAGCTACATCAATCAGGAAAAGATTCCCATCATCATAACATCTGAGATGGACACTGAGCTCAGCGCAGCTTGCTGTCAGTGCATGTGTAAGGTGGACAGTGAGCTGAAAATAGATTGGGGACTTGGAGCGCATAGCAGAACCAGAACCATGCAGGAAGATTCTGTGTTTTCCTAACAAAGTCTCCCAGAGACTTGTGACTTAAAAAATTTTCCCTGAGTATGAATCTTTGGCTGAATAGCGCTTGTTCCTGTCTCCAACACTGCAACACATCCATGAGCCTGTCTGAGGAACAGTCCAGAATCTCATATCCTCTTCAGCTCAGAAAGGGCCTGTAAACACATTTGATTACGCACAACCAGGTGACCTGTTCAGCTTAACGCAGACAATATTTAAAATTAGAATTGGCTACAGATAAAAAATGAATTTAGTAGAATAAAATTCACTGTAATTAAATATTCATTAATTAGTTTACAAGCAGAGATCCGCATCAGATGGATGAAAGAGCCGCATGCGTCTCCAGAGCCGCGCGTTGCCGACTCCCTGGCCTAGAGTTATAGCAGGCAGAGAACATGCTGGGAAAGTCAGGTTTT